ATAGAATATTTATTAGAGTGGTGTTCTTGCTGACTTGGATGTTAACACTGTCAAATGGTGCATCCATGTGAGCAAATGATTTTTGTTACTGTAAGCAGGTTATTTTCTTCCCAAACGGGTTTAGGAAATTATGAATATATCGCTGACATAATTAACTATTTGATAATGCTGATGTGGTGCAACACAACAACACTAGACCATACACTCATACATTAGTACTCCTTTTTTATTAAACTCCTAGATACTCATGGCTTTGTATTTTCCTTGCATCTGCTGTATTTGTTGTTGATGTTGTGCAAAAGTAACGAGCACCTCAAAAATGTGTATGTTCATGACATTGATGCTTAATTGACCACCGATAAGGTGTATCGAATTAAAGGATTACTGAATTTATTGATGGTCAAATATGTTCAATACAGTGGAAGTTTTGTTTGAATTAAAATCATATGTTTGTATGATCTATTGGTATTCAACCCTTTGTTTTATTTGATCTGTAACCTCTAGACCGCAAGAAGGATCTTGTAAAACTTCAAGCTGGAGAGTACGTCTCTTTGGGCAAAGTTGAGTCAGCGCTGAAGAACTGCTCTTTCGTTGACAACATCTGCGCTTACGCAAACAGGTTTGCACACTCGGCTTTGTCTGATGCTTATGGGATGATACTGACCCTAACAAAGGCTCCTCTCTTCAGAACAGCAGATGCGCTGTATACTGACCTCTTTTCTCTCTCTCTCTCTCTCTCTCTGCCCACCAGTGACCAGAACTACGTTATCAGCTTCATTGTTCCTAATCAGAAGAAACTGACAGCTCTTGCCAATCAGAAAGGCATTGAAGGCACGTGGGAAGAAATCTGTAACCACCCAGTTATGGAAAGGGAAGTTCTGAGAGAAATTAAAGAAGTCGCAAATTCAAGTGAGTATCAGTTGCAGTGTTTATAGGTGTGACTGACAAGGTGTAAAGATCAAAACGTGTACACTTCATTAGGAAATTCACTCAGATTGAGATTCTGTGAAGACTGGCTTAACCAGTTTACACTTTCAGCATGAAAACCACACAGGTTGTTTTTATATTACAATGCTTTTTTCATAAAGTAGTTTTTTTTTTTTGTCAATTTAGGCATTTGTTTTAATGATTTAGGGCCAGATATAATCAAGTCACCCACTTTGTAAAAATCGACCAAAAACGCATTGTAAGTCAAAAGTCATTGACTATATGATGAAGCCTATTCGAAAGTTACAATAACCCTGTAAATCAGGTCATGAAGGCAAAAAACTGTTTTATATTTATATGATGATACTATTAATAAGTACTATTATACTTCTAATATTCAATTAAAGGAAGGTTAATATTGAGTGTTAGAGGTAATGTTGTCTCGTTATAAGTTTAACAATGTTTTTTCTGTTTCACCAATGAAAATTTTCCAGTTAAAACCGGAGCAGAAAATTGGTGCATCTGTGAACAACACTGTGGTGTTTCATTCCAGAATTAATTTATTTTTGAATAAACCAATGACTGGAATTATTGATTTAATGACCCATTCATAAACACAGTCACTTTCATTTGTTTTGAGGAATCATTTTAATAACGATTCAGTAAATTACTATTTAAGACAGTTTTGTTGTCATTTTATTTATCCACAACAGGCCTAAACCAGGCAAGGCACACAAACATACTTTTTACATAACATAGCCACAGCCATGTCACCCTGCAGCCCAAGACCGGTTACTCACTGAAGCTAAGCAGGGCTGAGCCTGGTCAGTACCTGGATGGGAGACCACTAGGGAACACCAGGTTGCTGTTGGAAGTGGTTTTAGTGAGGCCAGCAGGGGGCGCTCAACCTGTGGTCTGAGAGAGTCCTAATGCCCCAGTAAAAGTGAAGGGGACACTACACTGTCAGTGGGCGCCGTCTTTCGGATGAGACGTTAAACCGAGGTCCTGACTCTCTGTGGTCATAAAAAATCCCATGGCACTTCTCGTGAAAGAGCAGGGGTGTAACCCCGGTGTCCTGGCCAAAGTCCCTCTATCGGCCCTTACGATCATGGCCTCCCAATCATCCCCTTCCACCGAATTGGCTGTATCAACGTCTCTCCACTCCACCAATAGCTGGTGTGTGGTGAGCGCACTGGCGCCGTTGTCCTGTGGCAGCCGTCGCATCATCCAAGTGGATGCTGCACACCGGTGGTGGTGTGGAGAGACCCCCCTTATGATTGTGAAGCGCTTTGGGTGTATGGCCATACACAATAAATGCGCTATATAAATACACATTACATTACATTACATTACATACTTGGTAAAATATAGTTTAATCCCTGGGGCAATGCATTTAGGTACAAAAAATAGCTTGCAGATGTTTTCATTTTTGTTTTTTCTTCATTTGGTTTGGATATACTTTTTAGTCAGCTTGTATGCATTTTATTGATTAAAAGTTAAATATTTATAGTTCTACAGAATACCATATAAATCATTGTCCCTCAAAAGCGTCATGTAATGACCCTATCTGTCTTTTCACTAAAAATGTTTGTCAGAAAAAAAGTTTATTAATATACAAAATTGATCTTAAGAAATCTTTCTTGTTCACTAATTTAGCATATACATTTGATTTCTTTAGGATCATGTCAGACTAAAGACTAATAATGCTGACTAATTAGAGTAATAATTAGGGTTCCCACCCTTCTAGAAAGTATGTTAATTTTAGGCATTTGAATTCAAGGAAAGTACTTAACAAGCAGGTCGTTGAAAGTGCATGAATTTAAAGTTTATGCTGTTATTTCAGCAATTGCTATCAAAAACTAAACAAAAAATCTAAGAAAGTCTTAATTTAAACATCTTAAATTTAAATCTTTTACATGAGCTATGACAAATAATGCATTATATCAATACTTCAGAAACCAAATTTCAAATTTGCCAGTGTTGAGTTCAGCTAATCGTATGAAAGTTCTGTGAACTTGACTTTAAAATGGATGCTTGAAAATGACACATTCAAAACATCCTCATTATGAAATTGTTATGTAAATACACAGGGTATCAGCTGGGTCTTAGTCCTAAATCCCAAAAACTACATTTTGGTCCTTAAAAATATACTTAAATCTACTTAAATGTTGTGTTGTAGGTGTTAAATATTCTTTAACAGGTCTTAATTTTCCTTTGTTCATGTATAGCTACTCACTCTGGCCCTTAATACCCATACAATTGCCAACATTTCGTCTTAAAGCTTTTAACTTTTTATTTAAACTGTAAACTGTATTTCTTACTGCAATATTTGTTTAAAAGTTCTCCATTTATGTATTTCTGTGGTTACTGACCTGACCTATATTTTTTATTATTATTATTATTGTAGACTGAATTAGTTGACAGCTGTTTTGTTCTATTATTGGTCAGGGTAATAGGGTTTGTAGATGGATATTTGAAAATGACTAAAATAATATTCAAACTAAATTGTTATTGTATTATTACATTTTAATCATTTTTTGATAGAGCAAGTGAAAATCTTTTCTTACTAGGATATTTGAAAAAAAACTTTAGCATTTAGACCTGTTTACGTCTAGAATTTCATTCATAATGGTCTAAATGTCTTTTAAAAATCTTACATTTTACTGATACAGTGTTAGGTGTAAATGAAATGTTAAGAACAGGAAGGATTGTCATGGTGCTATATATGCTGGGGTGTGATACACAAAGGTGCTTGATTTAAAATTATTAAGGGTTCAAGTCCTTGTGTCCAAAAAAAAAAAAAAAACCTGGAAACCCTGACTAATCCAGAAAATGTTTCTTATAATCACAAAAAAAAAAAATTCTAAAGAAATCTTTTGTTTTCACCAATTTAGTATATACTAATTATTTCTTCAGCATTATGTCAAACTGAAGACTAATAATATTGCTAAAAGTTTATATTTATTATCACAAAAACAAAAAATATCCTGAGCACAAAGCGTATGATTGACCCATCTTTCCATCCCTTAGTTAAACTCCAGCGCTTCGAGATTCCTGTTATGGTCCATTTGAGTCCGGAGCCGTGGACACCTGAAACCGGCCTGGTGACAGATGCATTCAAACTGAAGAGGAAAGAGCTAAAGAACCACTATCTCAACGACATCGAAAGAATGTATGGCCACAAGTAGGACCTCTATAACAGCAGCCAAAGACATCTTCATCAGCTCCTCGCCATGCAACATTGCTGTATATCAATAAATGTAAAACAAACATTTGCCACAATTTTCACCACCGCCCACTGCTTAGTGACGCACACAGCTCTCAATTGCTGTTGATCTGTGTACATTTTTTACTCCTGAGCATTGTGGGCTTTGTAGTCTCTCTGCTGTGAAATAGTTTACAATTAAAGTTGTAGCTGATTAGATGGGGATGTTGTTGGGTAAGGGATGATTTTAATGAGTTGTTTCTCCTTTTAGCACACTCTTGTAAAAAGAACTTCAACCATACAACAGCGATGTACTGCCATCACCTGTGCTCATTTCAATACGTGTGAATCTTTCGTTCACTTGCTTTGTTTGATAGCATTTGTACACTGAATCCGCTAGCCGAGGTGAAGTCTTTGCACTGCAAAACTAATATATAGTGATGTTTCTGTGCCTTCTGATTGGTCACTGTATTAAACGTTAATTCCCTACTGACTATAAGTTAGAAGTAGATTCCTGTGCTTCACCCATGCAGTGCATTAATAGTCGTTATTTACTTGAGATTTCTTTTTAAAGCAAGTTTTTCTCACTGGACTACAATGTTCTGAGTTCTAGTTTTAGGAATTCACACATTTACTAGTCAGTCTTACTCTTACTCATGGAGTGACTCAGGATGTTTCAGATGACTGGCAGGTGGTTTGTTTGCTAGTATTTTAGATGTTAGTTAGATTGAAATTGAATGAAGGGAACATTTTTTTATGAACAAATTCCTTCTTAAGCCACAGATGTAAAGTTTGTATTACATCTGTCTAATCTCTTCACGTCTGATCTTTTTTAAAAACCACTCAGTTTAGCGATTGTCACAAGCTTTTTTTTGTTGAATATTCCACTTTTGCAGGCTTTTAATAATATTTGGTAATACGTCAACATGTCAGATTGCAATGCTTTGTGTATGAAGTTGAAAAGACAGGAAAAAAAAGTAATTGTTTGAAAAAAGAAACATTAGAAAATGAATTTTTCTCCCTCTATAAATATAAAGCAAGTGAGGTTGAGCTTTTGTCCGTCAGTTTATATTGTATACTGTATTTTAATTTATTTGGTCAAAACTACATTTCATTTGAACCCTTGTTTAATTTATTTGATTCTAAAGGGGTGTGATCTGTATAAACACTGTAATTTCTTACATTTTGGATTACCAAATGTTTCATTCTGGGATGTGCGTTTTATTTATGATGATTTTGTCATTTGCACTATTATTTGTGTTCAGGGATTTTTAGCCATTGTTAAATTAACAGCCATCAAATTCAACCAATTCAGCAGATATTTTCCCCTCAAGACCCTCAGGGTTACCGTCACCATAAGCAAGAATATACAGCAGTCAAGTGTTTGCGTTGAGAAATTGTGAATTTGCTTGTAGAATGTTCTATGATGCTTATTTATTATTTTTATTGTGTGTTGCTGTATGTATTATGTGCTGAGGACAAGTAAAATCATTTTGTACTCAAATGATGTGGCATTTTATTTTTGGTTCAACAAACATTGCTTTTTTTATTATTATTATTTACAGAACACATTTTAATAAGTAGTTTACAAAAAAAAAAAAAAAAAAGCCAGCTGAAGCTCAGTTTGCCCAGTCTTGAAACCGAAAACAGTCACTTGCGATTTTCCATACTGGCTGGTCACTGTTTGGAGAGGCTTGAGCTGTTAGTAAGAAATTCTGGTTAAAGAATCTCTGTTTGTTTCCCTCAAACTTCACAGAGCCCGCTGCAACCACTAACAATGTTGTCTGGCCTTGAGTTGCTTGTTCTGTGTGTAAAGGAGAAAAGAAATTATTAGAAATCATTTGTCTTTTTAGCATTAGAAGGACATTTTAAAATATATAAATGGGTCAAAGATGATAATGGACTTTCAAAAATATTTTTTTACACTGAATGATGAAGCTTCTACTTAAAGCGATAGTTCAACCAAAACTGAACATTTTATTCACCCTTCACTTGTCACAAACCTGTTTGAGTTTCTTTCTTCTGTTTAAAAAGTTACTTTGAAAAATGTTTGGAAATCTGTAACCACTGACCTCCATAGTATTAGAACTTCCTATTGTGGAAGCCAATGGTTGCAGGTTTCTAACATTATTTTTACATATCTCTTCATTTCACAGAAAGAAAACAAAGGTAAAAACCTTTTTCAGGGTAAATACAGGCATCAGAGATTGAAATTTAATACCATTTAAGACCCCTTTTTAAATTTTAAGACCTCGTCACCAATTTACATTTCAACCAGTAACATTGTTGACATTTTAAATTGCAGTATAATTACTAAATACTGACAGTAGGGAACCAATCCTAAACTAAAACATTGTAAATATTCTGAATAAAAATGCTAATCCAGCAGGTGGTGCCTTTACAACAGCAGGAATAACCCTGGTCATTGCAGTAAACAAAGCCGTGTGATGTCAAATCCAGACAGATTTTTTGGATTTTATAAACTACACAGCATCCCAATATTCAAAGACTAAATTCAGGCAAACTTTAGCATACTAAATTTAATACCTTGTCAAATAAATTTGCTAATTAATTACTAAACATTACTCATTTACATATTTCTTAGCCAAAAGTTTTAAATGTGTAAAAATGTTCTAGGTATATACACACACACACACACTTTTTTTTAAGTATAAGTTTTTGAAACTGATAAAATGAATTCATGCACAACAGGTACAAAAATACATGGAGAACTTCTAAACAAATGTTATGAAGGTAATATAGTAAATAGAGTTAATCAAGGACACATTTGTTAAAAGTTTTATTAAGATGGATTGTTGTTGATTGGAAGGGTGTTGGCCCGATTGGGTAGCTTTACATTGGCTTGTAATAATAATTAGAATTTTTTCAACCTACAACTTAATTTTTAACATTAAAGGTCTAAAAATTTGTTTCTGAAATTAAAGACATTTTAAGGCTTTTTCAGACCCTGCTAACACCCTGTTTAGAGATGAGCAAACATTATTTTTGGGATGAACGATTCCTTTAACGTTATATCACAGGTGAGAACCTATGAACCTACTTAACATTAACAGTAGTAGTAGTATCATAAAAAAAAACATCAAATAAACCAGTTTCTTTGATATTTTATTGAATAGTATTAATTTTATAACTATCACACCACAAAAGTTGAAAGAAACATTTATTTATTTTAATATTTAAAGCCAAATATTTAAAAGGAAAGTTCATCTAAAATTAAAATTCTGTCATCAATGACCCTCCACATGTTTCAAACATGTTTGACTTTCTTCTGATGAACACAAAAAGATATTTTGAATAAATGTGACCCATAATATTTTTCCTACTATGGAAATCAATGGCTACTAGACTCATTCAGTAAAACTTTAAAATAATGGTCCATTAGTTAATGTATCTACTAACATGAACAAACAATAACATATTTATTTAATGTTATTTAATTAAAATCACAGTGCATTAACAAATGTTAACAAGCACAACTTTGGATTTTAATAACGCATTAGAAAATGTTTTTCTTTACAAAACTTTTCAAACTTAGTTAGAGGCCATGGGTTATTCCATTTCTTTATTGTTTTCTCAAGATCATGACTTAATTTTTTCGTGATATCGCCATATCAAAAGTTGGTTTCTCCTTATCGCGACTATTGTCTGGTTATCCTGACATAACAAAAAGTTGACCACTCAGGTTTACTAGCCATGCTTTCTGCTTTTTCTAAGAGGATATCCTAGACACGCATACAGTAGCTTGATATCGCATTATTTACAGGGAGACACTTTTTAAAGTAATTGTAAATAACATGCAGAAAAGATGCATTAAAGCAAAACCAGGATCTTCATAATTTTTCATAATCTAATTCACACATGTAACAATTTATTTTGAGCCTTGAACCTATGCTTTAAAATATTTACATTTAGTCATTTAGCAGACGCTTTTATCCAAAGCGACTTACAAATGAGGACAAGGAAGCAATTTACACAACTATAAGAGCAACAATGAATAAGTACTATAGGCAAGTTTCAGGTCTGTAAAGTCTAAGAAAGAAAGCATTAGTATTTTTTTTTTGAGTACAGTTAGTGTAATATCCAGAGAGGCAATTGCAGATTAGGAAGTGAAGTGGAGATTAAATAGTTGAGTTTTTAGTCGTTTCTTGAAAACAGCAAGTGACTCTGCTGTTCTAATGCAGTTAGGGAGTTCATTCCACCAACTGGGCAGATTGAATGCGAGAGTTTGGGAAAGTGATTTCTTCCCTCTTTGGGATGGATACACGAGGCGACGTTCATTCACAGAACGCAAGTTTCTGGAGGGCACACAGATCTGCAGAAGTGAGAGCAGATAAGAAGGAGCAAAGCCAGAAGTCGCTTTGTAGGCAAACATCAGAGCTTTGAATTTGATGCGAGCAGCAACTGGCAGCCAGTGCAAACGGATGAGCAGCGGAGTGACGTGCTCTTTTAGGTTCATTAAAGACCATTCGTGCTGCTGCGTTCTGGAGCAGCGGAAGAGGCTTGATAGAGTTAGCTGGAAGCCCAGCTAGTAGAGAGTTGCAATATTATTGTAAATAATCATCGATAGTCCTATATGTGGATATAATCATAAATGTACATTACGCTCATATTATGATGGCTGTTCTGAATGCCCTTAATGTGTTGCACAAATTTAGAATCTGCTACTGTAGACAAAAAACACTGTTGTTACACCTTCATCAAACACAATAAAATTACATGTAGAACATCTTGTTTTAAAGGCTGGAGTGTACATCTAAAATATTTTCGGTAGGCCAATAATACATTCAGCAGATACAAATAGCCTAATAATAATAATAATAATAATAATTATAATAAAATCAATTATTAGATAAATAAAATTACTTTCTTTTTTAATCACAAGAAAACAACTTTTTGTTTTGTCAAGATCCCAAGAAAATTATTTATGTCGAGATCACAAGAAAATTAAGTCATGGCCACGACAAAACAAGAGCTAAATATAAAGAACAGTATTTCAATGCACGGCCTCTTAAGACTTTTGTAGTAAATAAATTAACTGACATAAACTAAAGGACCATCATTCTAAAAAGCTACCCAAACAATGGGTAATGGGGTGAACTATCACTTTAAGAGCAATAAGTTAACCACAGTCTTGATTTTGCCTTTTTGTCATATATATAAAGGTATTTGTATTTGTACTTTTACATACCGTGTACAGGCTGGCAGTCAAGAGTTTGCACTTGAAACTCACTGGATGGAAGAGACTCGAAGAATTCACCGAGAGCTTCTTGACCAGTGACTGCGTTTCCATTCCACACCAGCGTTGCTTTGTCCAGATACAGCCTCTTCAAATTCTGTAATCAACCATTCACTTTAAACGCTCTAAATGTCAAGATACTTTACATAAAAGATAAGCATATAGGCTATTGACGGTTAAATTAAACCATACGATGAGCTTAACGTTACCCGTCTTTTCTTATCCATGCACTCGTAATAGATATTGATGAACTCCTCTGAATATCTGCACGACTGGTCAACTTGAGTCCTGAAATCCTGATCAATAGCAAATAGATGGCTATTATATAATATAATCTAATGATATAACGCACGTTTTTATGAGAAAAAAATAATTGTGCCAATGAAGAGACTTACCACCGTTAAAGACATGACTGGTCTTCCGTCTGTTGTTTGTCTTTGTGCTTGATATGTAAACTAAAAAACATGGAGTGAAAAAACGGACGAATGTAACGTTAACGTTAGGAGCCAAATGAAACCAATGGTGCGACTTAAAATAACTGTATTTAATAATAAAACAGTAAATTATAATTTATATACACATTGAATGAAATTATAATTTATGTAGCAATAATAGACTCGTACTATCTCACCCTTTAAAAACAAATCCAGCATCCGTCAATAATGTGCTCAAATGTGTGTCCACGATATTTTGTTCCCACTGGAAACTGCACCGTTTTCTTAAGTTCCGTCTTTTTTGTAGTTGGCGTTGTTGCAAAAACCTTGTAATAAACGGACACATTATGTCTCTAAATATTATTTCTTATACATTGTACATTATTTCAAATTACTAAAATGTCAGGAAAAGTCAGTTTGTTGAACATCAAAAGTCGACAGAGTACAGATTAAGGTCCTATAATGGAATTCACTAGCGTGAATAATAAACGGAAAACACTTATAAATCATAAAATGCGGAAAACTGTTAACAGATATTGTTTAGTGTACCATATCCTGTGATGAAGGATTGTATTCGTTTACTATATTCTTTATATTGTTTTGTTTACTTGTACCGTAATACAACACCAACCCAGATAATGTAAGTTTCTACGCTAGTCACTGAAGATAACTCCAACATATTTTTACAATAGTTTCTATGGGTTTTAGTATTATAGTATTTATTGTTTAAAGTGTTGGCGACAGTATTTTAACTCTGCATGATCTGTGAAGCTGAAAGTAAAAAATTAAATCTAAATTTTAAGACTTTTCAGT